CTGTTCCTTTTCCCGAATCCAAGCCAGCTCGTCATCAATATCGCGGAAAAGTTGATTGCCACGAAGGGACTCAGCTAATTTCTCCTTTCGTCGATTCAGTGGATCACGTAGCGCGTTATATCTGCACAAAAATGATAATCAATAAATGTGAAGCGTACGAATATATGCTTTTTTTTGGCTAGGACAGTATTTGTAAATATGTAGCTGCTTAATCTTTAAATGCATCGATAGCATCAGATTGCATCTTGCCTTGGTTATAATACCAAATCAAAAAAATATTACTAAACGTGGACTTTTTCACCAAACATGATTTGCTACTAGTTGACCTGATTTGACCTGATTCTGCAAAATTTCTTCTCCTGCGAAAGCTCCCCAGTGATTTTTGACATAAAAGTCAAATCAAATTAGAAAAGAAAAATCCGCAAAGACAGAAAAATAGTCAGTACTTTCATAACAAAAAAAAAAGACCTGCAAAAACCAACCAAACATAATATGAAGGGCTAGAAAATGGGATACCCAAAGGCAAAACTAATTATACACAATAAAGATGATGGGAAATAAAATCGATGTGCAAAATCACAAACGGAAAAAATGGCTCTGCCCCTATCGTTCCCGAAAATGGCTCTGTTCCTATGTAAGCTGTCCCTATCGTCCCCTAAAAAACGCCAAAAAAAATTCTAGCTTTTGAAGATTCGAAATAAATAAAACAAATACCAATAGTATTTATTTTCCATGAACAAAATTAGTATAATCACAAAAGGAGAAGTATAAATAAGCGAGGAATAAACAAAAGCAAGAAGAAACCTGCTCTTCAAAGCCTCCTCCTTACGCAAAATCATTGGAGCATCGAAATGACCACCATCCGAGAAAGCTTTTGCCTGCTGTCCGATCACATCAACACGATCCTGATGCGCATGATAATCGCTTTCCAGAAGTCCTTGCTTTTTTTGCAGATTTTGCACAGAAATCAAATCTTTGCCATAATCTTCAGAGGCAAGCTGGCCTTCCAGCTCACTGAGCCAAAGCTCGATATCTTCGACATTCCTGGAAAACATTGGTAGGCCGAAACATTCCAATTCAGTTTTTAT